TGTGTGTGAGGAGAAGGCATGCACAGACATCACCATAGTGAAGGTGATGGAGGAAAAAGGACACAGAGATGTCCTTAGAAGGGACTCCCTGGAACTCCCCTGCTCCCTCTCCTGTTAGTTCCAGACATGCATATGACATGTAATGAGCCAGTCAGGACAATTAGTATTTCCATCTCCTTCAACAGACCTCATTTCCTGGTGCCGGGAACCTCCGAGCTCCTGTCTTCTAGTTCTTTGTAAAATGTATAATCAACTGTAAACTACAGTTCCTTTGCTGTGCTGTAGAACAGTAGGACTTATTCCTCCTGTCTGTGTGTGCATGGGTGTGTGGAGTGGTTGGTTTGTTTATTTTGGCGGTACAGGAATTTGAACTCAGGACCTCATATTTGCTGGACAGGCACTCTATCATTTGAGCCGCACCCCCAGCTGTTTTTGCTTTAGTTACTTTTCAGGCAGGGTCTTGAGTTTTTGCCTGGACCCTGATCCTCTTACCTATTGTTATCTGGGTGCAATATGTACCTTTGCACCCAGTTTATTTTTGTTTAGCTGGAGGGTCTCAGTAACTTTTTGCTCAAGCCATCCTCAAACTGTGCTCCTCCCAATTTCTGCCTTCTGAGTAGTTGGGTTATAGGTGTGAGCCACCATGCCAAGCCTTATTTTGCTTTTGAAATGGGGTTTAGCTATGTAGCCCAGGCTGGCCTCAAGCTCAAGATCCTCTGCCTCAGCCTCCTGAATGCTGGGATTACAGTACAGACATGCACAACCATGCCTGGTTCTCACTGTATTTTGGTTCCTGTTATCTCCCCTCCGTCACCCTTCTCCATCTTCTAGTGACCACTGCTCTCTCCCCTTGTATGAGATCAATCCTTTAGCTTCCACATGTGCAGAAGACGTGCAGTATTTGCCCTTTTGTGCCTGGCTTATTTCACTTAACATAATGTCCTCTAGTTCCATCTATATTGTCACAACTGACAGGATTTTCCCTTTTTTTTTTGGCAGAATACTATTCCATTGTGTATATATACCACATCTGAAAAAAATCCATGCACCTGTCAGTGGGCACTAAGGTTTATCCCCTAACTTGGTATTGTGAACAGTGCTGCAATAAACATGGGAGTGCAGATATCTCTTTGATATACTGATCTCATTTCCTTGTTCTCTATCTTGAGTTTTATCACCCAGCACCCACCTTGTTCCTAAGCTAGCTGTTAACAGGAACTTTATCTCTGAAACTTCCTTTGCTGTTGGTGCCCACAAACGTAATCTCTAGGTCCCCTGGTTTTAGAGTTTTGCCAAGTATAATCCATAGGGACATGTCACAAAGAATCAAGAACTTCTCTTACAATCCCTGCTCCTTCAGTTAGCCTCTTAGAACCCTTCCCCTGGCACTGCCCTCTCTTTCTAGGAAGACTCTCTTTTTGGTCCAAATGCCAAGTGAGGATGGATTTAAGGGATGGCAGTGGGTGTGAAAAGATTTCCAGTGAGGGTGCCCCATGGCTGTAAGGCACCTGTGAGATGCAAAATGCTTCAAATACATCCAGGTGTAGCCATGGCCACCTTAGGCACCAGACTTCACCCCAAATTCTACATCTGCAAAATGAGATGACAATCCTCCATTCTCCCCTCATGAGAGTCCTATAGAAATCAGGCAAGAGTACCAAAGTAGATTATGAAGTCCCTAGTTTAACAGATGCCTGGCTCCTGTACCCCAAGACAAACTTCCCACTTATCTCATTTATCCCATAAGTCTCAAAGCCATCCTGAGACTTCTAACTCAGTTGCACAACCACCAAGATTGCTTTCAAATCGACAGGGGCTGCACAGGAAGCAGAGAATGGCTGCTTTGTTTGCATCCTGGTGCAGAAGGGTGTGAGGAAGGATTTCCAAACCATCCTAATTACCTCCCTAGACTTTTTCCACTTACCCACGCCAGAAGTCCATGCACGAGTTATTCTTCTTATCTCCTCTCTTGTCAACCACCCTTCATTTCTACCTTCTGCTCTTTCTCCTGAAGGGAGTTTCCATACTTTTAGTTCTCCTCACCCCTCTGCTACTCTAGCTCAAGACACCATTATCTCTTCCCTGGAAAAGGGTGATGGCTCCCTGCCAATGACAGTCTTCCAAATTGTCCCTCTTCTTAATTATCCTGGAGCTTGAGCTCTTTCTAAATGCAAGTCTGAGCATGTCGCTCTCCTACTTAAATCTCTTGATTGTTCAGCTACCTTACCTGGGTGAAGGCCCTGACTCCCTAGCGTAGTTTGTCTTCTGTTTGGTCTCTTGATTACTTTTCCAGCTTTCTCCCCCAACTCCACCTCAGCTCAACCCCCCATTTCTGTAGGCTCCAACTGTCCTGGATCACTCACATCTCAAGGATCACTCACAGTGACTAAGGGGCTTCTTGGACATAGACCTTTTAGTGCAAACCCAAGGCTAACAGCCTTGAGCAAGTCATGAAAGTTGGTCACCCTGGTTTGCCTTGGGTCTCTGCATTTTTTTAATCTCTCAATCCTCTTTCTAGAATGCTCCCCAGGGTAAACCCCATTTCACTTCCTAATTACTACCAAATGGCATTGAACCTTGGCTTTCTGCTTCTGTGAACCACTTCTGCAGCTCCCTTGGAATGGTTTATTTGTACCTCCTATGACCTTTGCAGTGTAGACTCCACACAGTTAGCACGATATTCTCATGGCTGTTCTGGCTTGTTGAAAGCAGGAATGGACCCACAGTAGTCCTCTGCATCCGTGAGTTCTGCATCCTTGGATTCAACCAAGTTCAGATAAAAAATATTAGGAAAAAATGTTATGCTATTGCTGACCTGTACTAGGTAGTTGGGTCTACCGTGTTTACTTCTGCTCTGAACATGTACAGACTTTCTTCTTGTTCTCATTCTCTGCACTGCACAGTATAACAACTATTTGCATAATATTTGCTATTAGAAGTCATCTAGAATGATTCAAAGTGTATGAGAAGGGCTGAGGGTGCAGCTCACTGGTACAGCCTGTGCTTAGCATGCATGAGACCCTGGGTTCAATCCCAGTAGCAAAAGAAGTAAAAATAAAGTATACAGGAGGATGTAGCAAGGTTATATTTAAATATTATACAATTTTCATATTGACACTTGAGCAAGGTCCATTTTGGTATCCATTTGAATCCTAGAATGCCACAGGTCCTTCTAGAACTTTGCAACCCTCCTGAGTCTGTGTTCCCTCTGTTTGGACAAGACTCTCTGGCCACCTATGACTTGATAGAAGCAACACTCTGAGGCTTCCAAGACTGGACCTAAAGGCAATTCAGGTTACACCTGGTTCACCACAGGCTGTGAGGGCCTCAGGCAACAGAGGGGAGCAGAAGCCCCACCTTCAGCCCCAGCTGAGTGACTACAAGATGGCCAGTATCAACTTTCCAGCCATGTCCCTCCGCCATCTTGGAAGTAGATCTTCCAGTCTTCCGTGAAGAGGACCACAGAATGCGTTGTAGATCAAAGGCAAATTCTCCCTCCCACGCCACACCAAACTGCAGATTCATGAAGAAAAGAACTGACTGCTCATTGTAAGTTTGGGATAGATTGTGACACAGGAGTAAATAACTCAAATACAATAAGTATCTCTAATACAGACAGGATACAATGCTGGTACTGGATGAGCATTTCTTTCTCTTGATAGGTCCTTGGTCCTAGAAGATCCTGGTTTATTCCAAAAGGGATTAAGAGTAGATCCCAGTCTGGGCCATTCCAACACCCATCCCTAGTGCGATTGGCTCCTGATATAACCAAAAAGAGCACTGGGCCATAGAAGGACAGATCTTGGAGCTGCAGGCCACCCTGGCTTTCACATTTGCTTGAAAATCAATGTAAAAAAAAATGTATTCTTTTCTTGCATTGTACTGATCATTCTCCATTGTTCCCCTCATAGCTCAACCTTCCCACCCAGGTCCACCTGTCACGCCTGCCACTTCTGCTTTCTACCTATGGAGATTGTCATGTAAAGTTGTACCTCTGCGTGTCTTTGCTCTACTTCCAGATGGTTTAGACCAAAGGGAAGCCAGCAGTCTGGAAGGGTGGTGAGGGAGAGGGGTTGGCTCTTTTACTTCTTCCCTGCTAGGCCTGGGATTGATAGTGGCTTCATTCCTCTATCACAACACGACACACATCATGTCAGACAGCTGTTCTCCCAGGGCTTCAGCTCTCACTGGGTTCCAGGATCCCTTCTCCCTTCCTCCCTTTGTTTCTTTGGCCCCAGGGGATGATAAAGAATCCCACTGCTGCCAGTTCCTGGATACTTCTTTATCCAGTCTTGATTCTCTTAACCCTGCCCATCGCATGTGTGATGGGTTAAATGTCCCCTGCCAATTCATTTCCTGAAGTCCTAACTCCCAGTGTATTAGAATGGGACTGTATTTGGAGATAGGCCCTTTAAAGAGGTAACTGGGATTAAGTGACATCACTAGGATGGGTCCCAACTCAACATGACTGGTGTCCTTATAAGAAGAGGAGACCTGGACACAGACACACACACACAAAAGAGACCATGTAAAAACACAGAGAGAAGACAGCTGTCTACATGAGGAGGAAAGAGGCCTCAGGAGAAGCCAGCCATGCTGACACCTCGATCTCAGATTTCCAGAACTGTGGGGAAAGAAACTTCTGTTGTGCAAGTTGCCCAGTGTGTGGTGCAGACACCATGATAAATAAGTCTTCCATGAAACTGCTCAAGGAGCCTTGGGGTGAGCTGTCACTTCCTTCTGGGACTCACCACACATACCAAATATTACCGATGGTGCCATCAGATGCCCCTTCATTAACCCCAATGTGTCTAAGTAAGGTGCCATTTTTAAGTTTGTACATTTGTCAACATTTATGCCATGAACAATTTTTTACTGAAAAACCATAGGACACACTTTCATGATCAGGTATCTAACTTGAGAATTTAATGGCAGAGCCAGGTAGAATTTGATGCCGTCACATAAAGCCTCGTCATTTCTATGAAAGTCCTTTCTCCTTCTTATGTCAGTGCTGCCGCTGGAGCCTGGATGGAGAACAAATGTAGACCACATTGTTTCTGCAGGCGCTGTGTGAAAAATTTAGCTGCTGCTTCAGGGCCTGAGGATCCCACTGACGCATGAGGAGGCCATGCAACATGAGCTGGAATTTTTAGAGGGGAGCTGGGATTTAGGGACATCTAAGGAGGAGAAAAGCATCATTAAAGGGAGGGTTATTAAAACATCAAAGGAGCTGTATAATTAAACTTCTCATAATGGTATAAAAGAATTTTATACAATCAGTGGACTGGGTGAGGCTTGACATTTCCCAATTCTGCTCCCCCCACCTCATGCAACCTTCACCTTGAACTACCACTAATAAATTCTTCAATCTCCAAGTAATTTTTTTTTCTCCAGTACTGGGGTTTGAACTCAGGGCCTACACCTTGAGCTGCCACCAGCCCTTTTTTGTGATGGATTTTTTTTTTAGATAAGGTCTCATGAACTATTTCCTGGGGCTGGCTTCAAACCTCAATCCTCCTGATCTCTGCCTCCTGAGTAGCTAGGACTACAGGTGTGAGCTACCAGCACCTGGCTCCAAAGTACTTTCACAAAGATGATTTTACTGGGATCTCAGGAAAGGTATTGGACCTCAGGGAGGTATTACCAATCTCCATTTTACAAATAAGTGAAACTGAGGAACAGGTACTACAGTGATGACTCAGGTCCTCGCAGTGCAAGCTGTCACAGTTGACTCTGGGGACTTGTGATCCTTAACTCAGGAGTGGTGGTGCAATTCCCAAGTGTGTGCACCTGTTCTCTCTAAAAAGGCAAATGGCGCAGGTTGCCATCCCAACCCAAACTCACAGTGACAAAGGATTTCTCCTCAACATCTGGTGAAGCACAGGAAAGGGAAAAGGGAAAAATGGAGAGAGAAAAAGAAAGTAATAATGCATAATGTGAACTGAGCTGAGAGAGAGAGAGAGAGAGAGAGAGAGAGAGAGAAGTGCCTTTTTTGGAAGGGGGTACTGGGGATTGAACCCAAATCTTCACACTTGCTAGGCAAGAGCTCTACCATTTGAGCTGCACCCCCCAGACCTTTTGTTTTATTTGTTTTTGCCCAAACCCTGCACCAGGCTGGCGTTGAACTTGAGGTCCTCCTGTCTCCACCTCTTAAGTAACTGGGATTACAGCTGTGTACCACCAGGCCGGGCTAATGAAGTAGTTTTTAAAGTTCCCCTTTATGTGGCTCTGACTGTGCAGACACAGGTCCTGCAGCGTCCCCTGGACACAGTCCCCCTCCCCTTACTCCATCTTGGCAGGCAAGTTGCAGGTCATATCGGATCACCTGTTACCTCACTCCAATGTCCTAGCAGATGTGCACAGTGACAGGGTTTCCTTGAATCTGGGAGAATCCTACTTTAGACTTTCATTGACTTTGAAATGGCATCAGCCAGTGACAGCGGTCTCTTGTCCTCTTCTCCAGCGGGGTCCCTCGTTATCTCACAAGGATGTGCCTCACCCCTTACACTGCCTGAATTGCTCTTTCAACATCCCTTACATGCAACCCATCCTTCAAAGCCCACTTTCTCCCAGGGCTTGAATGTCTTGATCCTCCGGGATTCCTCTGTCAGTGGGATCCCTGGAACAATTATTACTGAGTCCTCTGACTTAACATGCACCACCTGCTATCAGAGTTCACTTCTGAATGTAATTCCTATCTTCTAATGGGACTGCCAGCTCCCTCTGAGCAGGGCTGGGACCTTCTACTTCACCGATCCCACAGGTGCCTGCCTCTAGGAGGTCCACACACATCTGATGAAGTTTTTTTCAGGAACGAGTGGGCAAAACTGGGTTTCAATATCATGTGGCTAAAATCAAAGAGCAAAAGGAGAAAGAAATGGGAGCAAATAATCTCCCCTCATCTGAAGTTTTCAGTGCTGTTTTAAGATCCTGGAGAATAAGTGTTTCCAGTTTTGTTTTCAGATCAGCACAGAGAATCAATTGGAATGTTCCTTTGCGCCGGGTGAGGAACAATGAAGACAGAGTAAACATGTTGAATGAAGGGAAAGCCTGGCTGTCTGTGATAACAAGAATGGACTAGTCATCTCTCAGCTGTAACACTTTCAGACTTAATCCTGTTACAGCTTATCTGTCACTGCATTTGAGGAACCCTGTGCTCCTAGGCCCCCAGGCAGTTCACAGGCCTGGGCAGGCTGATCACAGCTCTCCTTCATGGTGGCAGGTCCCAGGGCTCCCCCTGCCCTGTCTGTTACCATCTATCCAGACTTGGATTTCTCTTCCTTCCAAGATCAGCTCTGGGAAGGTGGTTTCCTTATGTCCACCCTTCTTGCCCCAGAAGCATTTTAAGACCTTAATGTCTGTTGTTACTGGAGAAAAGACAAGTTATATAAAGGGTAAAAACCTCACAGCCCTGGATGTTGAGCTAGAGCATCTGACTGCCTGGTTGAAATGATAACTAAAATCTTCCCTCAAACCAATGTTGGAGTTCCCCAAACTTTTTCCTTCCTACTGATCCTTGCTACCTTGCTGTGAGTGGTCCCCTGCCCTCTCCAGAAATATTCACCTTCTTACCACAGAGACTTAGCAACAAGGAGCATCTTAGCAGGAAGACAGAACCATGCCATGGCTTAGGGGACTTCTGAGCACCTCGGGTCAAGGCGAGGCATATTTTACCCAATCTCTATCGTACTCAAGATTCTTCCTTAAGGGCACTCCCAACAGCACCTCAGCAATTTTTTTTGGTGGGGGGTGGGAGTCAGGGTTTTGCACTTGTAAAGCAGGTAATCTACCTCTTGAGCCATGGATCCAGTCCATTTTGCTCTGTTTATTTTGGAGATGGGGGTCTCTCAAACTATTTGCCCGGGCTGGCCTCAAATCGTGAACCTCCCAATCTCAGCCTTCCAAGTAGCTAGGATTACAGGTGTGAGTCATCAGCGCCTTGCTCTTCAGTGATTTATTTTCCAGTTTCAGTTCTGAGCATGAACCTTGTACAACTGCTACCCCATACACCTCAGGTGGCAGCTCTCCCCCCCCAGCCTGTGAGCCATGGGGGAGCAGGGACTGCATCTCATCATGGTTGTATCCCTTGTGCCTCATCCAGTACTGCAGAATTCTTGCGGAATCCATGAGAAATATACCAACGACTCATCTCCTCTTTCAAGTAGACTGAAGCAGGGATAGAAAATATCTATCTTGGGCTGGATGCCAGAGAAATGGGTGAGGAGAAAGAGGCTACTGAAGCCGAGGGACCCAAAAAGAGTAGGGCCCCAGAAGACTGGGGCCCAAGAAGAGAGAAAAAAGGAAACAGGAGTATACACGGGTGTGTGCATAGACTTGTTTTTCTTTGTCCAATTGGATTTTTGTCTTTCATTCATGTTATGTTCAGATACTTGCAACTGACCATCTATGGATCATTAGATAACCTAAGAGGACCAGTTAGGTGAGGTACTGTCTGAATATGAAAAATGAGTACAATTAAGTACAGTAGGAACAAAGACAGCACCTTCAGGGGACTGGTCCCTCTTCTAGAAAGACTGACACCACCTCCAACAATTGCAAATGCCTGACTGTCACCCCCAATCTTCCCAGTAAGTCTGTGATCTGGAAAAGGAAGATAAAGAAGGTGACAGAGCCAAGCCCATAGTGAAAGACATGTGTCACAGTCACAGCCACTCAGGAGGCTGAGGCAGGAGGATCACTTGAGCCCCAGATTCCAAGCCTCTAGTGAGCCCTGCCTCAAAAAAAAAAAAAAAAAGTGACAATGACAATCTTCATTTTGTAAGAGACCCCATTCACTTCCTCCCTTTTGAAAACATTTACCTCTATATGTCTTATTATGCCTCCCAGTCCAGGGGTGATGTGTGATGCTCTTTGTAAATATGGATTATTATTTGAAAATCACAAAACAGAAATTTTTGTTTGAGGTGTGTAAACAGTTTCAACTCAGCCCTATAAACTGCCTGAGATGGGTCAGGGCTGAGTGGTACATTGAAGGCTGTCAGTGGAGGTGAAGGCTTGGCGATGAGATGGTGAGGCCTGGAAGGACCACCTTCTAGGTGGAGGGCATAAGGGTGGGGGGTGACTGCACCTTGGCTGTTTTCCCAGGACAGAACTGCTTCCTGTGGGGCTTTTCCACCTGGAGTGCTGAGAGGAGGACCTCCTGTCTCCTATCTGCCACACCCAAAAATCTGCTCAGACCTGTCCAGTCACCTTCCAAGGGGCCCCTACTTTGGCCAATACTTATAAAAGAGGGTGTTCCCTTCCCTCCTTGCTTCAGGGAGAAAACAGAAGCAAGGTGTTAGGTGTTAGGGAGAAACAGTCAATGCAGTTTTTAAAGATGTCTTGGTGTAAAACTGTCAGCTGTGGAGGCCGAGTCTTGAAATTTAGATCCAAGCCTACGTGCCTACATCACTGGGCAATGCAAGTAAGTGGAACAAAGTAGAGATGTGTCACAAAACATTGAAACGTGCACAGGCCATAAAGCCCGGGCAGTCTGGTTAGCAGTGGTGGTAAACCCATGCTTATGCCATGTTACTAAATGCTATGCACATATCCCCCTGTTATGTATGTACATATACAGTTTTAAAACCCAGTATAAGAGTGATTAAAACATGTCATTACTGTTGTGTACATACCTAATAATAACTCACAAACTCTGTTCTCTCCTGCTGGATCCTAAAGGGAAGCTAATTTGTGTCAAATATTTTGTCTTAATTCTAAATGAAAACAAATAGCCATTTGACATCTAAGTGTTCAGTGATAGAGAAGCAATAGACTCATTCCAGCGGGAAATACCAGAGTAATTTATTATGTCTAGCATGATAAAACAGAGGCAACAAGACAGAACAAGTACACAAGAACACACCCTCTGGCAGCAAAAGAGAAATGCAAAGACGCTAAGCAGAGTTCCCTTGGGAGAGTTCATTTTGCTCACAGAATCCTTTGCAATGAGGTCTTTTCCTCTCTTAGGTATGAAAATTAACAACCAAGATGGTTCTTGGTAAGCAGTTGTGTGCACATGGCACAGAATTGGTGCCAGTGATTTCACTACACTGGTGCTCTTCAGTTTAGGATCATGGAGTGAAAGCATGACACTGATGGGGACCAGAAAAGTGTGGACAGGAAAGGCCAAACTATACAGAGAGCTGAGGATGCAACCCTTTCTTACACAGTGGAA